CCCACTGCATTTTTGTTTGCTGTACATGAGTTATGTCCATTGCTAATGATTTCTGTGCTGTGTTTGTGTAAATTTTAATCTAATTTAAAAGAAAATTCTCCACTAGGCATGAAAATTTTTAAGTACATTTTAGATTCAATTAATTCATTACTCCAAAGAGATTGGTAATAGTGACTAATTATCCATGAGCATCTAATAAATTCAGGGACCCTGGTTTTCTCTGTTTAAAAATCACAAATTCTCTTATTAAAAATTTCACAGATTCTCTGATTAAAACCCCCAAATCTACTTTTTTCTGCGATAAAAATGAAATCCCACTATATATATATATATATATAGGTATCAGTTGAACCCAATGTTTTATTGATACATTTACAATTTTAAAGCAATTTGGAAGACTACCAGTGCCTCAATCGTTATTAAATAAATTTCAAATACCTATATTTTTTGGCATTTGTTTTTGTTTTTTTATATCATGGAAAATCAGAACTCACCCTGCCCCCTTCATTCACCAGGATGCAGGTCCTGCTCTGGCTGTCATCCCTCGCCCTCCCACTTCTCCCACTTTGTGGCACTGAGCAGCCCTGATATGCCAATGCCCAGCCCATTAGGGCTGTGAGACACTTCGGCCCCTGATTCAATTCAGCAGAGATTTGGCCCAATTCACTGGCCAAATCTCTGAATCCGAATCGATCAGAGGACCCTTTAATTTCTTCAAATCGAATTGGAACCCTCAGAATCGACTCAGAGAGATTCAGAAAGATCCAGAAAGATTCAGAGATTCAGACATAGAGACAGCTTTAAATGTTTTTTCTACATACCTCTAGGTAGCAAGGGCTCATGAATGCTGCAATGCTGGGGTGCATGGAGTACCCCACATGAGCGCGGAGGGCTCCCCAGAGCGCTCAGCAGCAGAACCAGAAGTGGACCAGAAGCACTTCCGGTCCACTTCTGGGTCTGCTGGGGAGTATGCAGGGGGCCCCCCCCCGTATCCCTCAGCTGGGTCCCCCTGTGGCCAATTGTGAAGCCGGGGGAGCACAGGACGGCCTCCTGCGCACTCCCCAGCAGACCCAGAAGTGGACCGGAAGTGCTTCTGGTCCACTTCTGGGTTTGCCACCGAGCACATGGAGGGTCCCCCCATGCTCCTGTGGGATGCTCCATGTGCCCCAGCATCACAGCCATGATGAGCTACACCTGCTACCTCAAAGAATGTAGAAAAATTTTTTAAAGCTACGTCTTTGCCTGAATCGCTGATTATCTGAATCAGCATCAAATCTTCAGATTTGGATTTAGCCGAATCGAATCAGGGACAGTGATCCAAATCAACTAATTGAATCACTGTCTTTGAATTGGACTGAATCCGAATTGAATAGGACCTACTTCACACACCCCTATTGACCCTCACTCCAGACCCACAGCCCCCCAACCTTGCTGGTGCCTCACTCCCGACCCACAGACCCCCCCCCCACCCCTGCTGGTGCCCCTCACTCCCCATCCACAGCCTCCCCACAACCCAACCCTGCCAGAGAGGGCTCCCAGCTGCCAGAGCTACAGGGCCAGGGACCTGGGTCTGCAGCCCCCTGCCTCCTGCAGCATCACTTGACCCCAGCTGCTGCCCATGGGAGGTGGTGGCAGCTGCTTCAGTGGAGCAGAGCCCAGCTCTCCCTCCCCCACAGGCAGCACAGCCAGAGCAGAGCCCATCAGGGGGCAGGTGTGGGTGACCCACTGTGGGCGCAGGTTCCTTCCCATTGCCCTTCCACCAGGACCTTTGCAGCCCAGCAGTCAAGACCCAGTGCTTCAGGGCAGAGTGGGGCAGAGTGGAACAATGAAACTCAGTGAGCTGCAAGCAAAACACTGCCCTGGTGAAGTGTGCTCTGCCTGCCCAGCAGGAGCAGAGGTGCCAGCATGGAGTTGTGCTCCTTGCTGCTGCTGGGTAGGCAGGGGGAGCTTCACCATGGTGACTTGGGGCTCATGGCAATGGCACCAAGCTTCCCCACCTGGCCCTGCTCTCCCCTTCCATGCCAGGTTCCACCTGCTCAGCTGCAGAGGCTCCAAGGGGAGGGCAACAGGGAAGGGAGCCTGAGCCCACAGCAGGCAGCCCACCTCTGCCCTGCACATAAATCTGCGGGGATGTGTCCCCCATTCCCCCCCAGAAGTGTGCACAGAGGTGGGAAGCCAGCTCCCCTCCTCACCCCCCCAGATGAGCCACACGCAGCCCCATCCCATCCCCTGCCCAGGCCCTGCAGCTGCGCATCCTAAGCCCCAAGTCCCACATACAACCAAGCTGGGCAGCAGCCCCAGCCCTGACCAGCTCCCTCTCTCCCTCCCTTACTATGGGGGCCTCAATCCCCCGCTCCCCTGACTTACCTGCAGGGAGCTTTATGTACCTGTGTGAGCAAGCATATGCACATGGCGCCCCTGCCTGATTGCCCTTCTCCTGCTCCCCCCAGTCCCTTGCAGGCTGGAACTCTGCCAACTGGCAAGGGGAAACCCACCATTTCCCACAGCTTTTTCTCCTTTAAAAAAGAAAATCTAGGTTTTTTTCCTTAAAATGAGAAAATCCACATTTTTCTTCTTAAAATGAGAAAATCTGCATTTTACCACATTTTTCCATCACAAACAGAAAACCCAGATCCCTGAAAAGCTGAAGAAAATTGGATGCTTTATTAACAATGGGTTGGCTTCACACATGCTATGGAGAATATAGGCCAGTGACTTTTAAGCCATCTAATTATCAGGAGTCAATTCCATTGAAATTCAGTATCCCTCTCTATTTGGAAATGACTATGCATTGACATATGATGAATTTCCCAAAGTGTTTTATGTACAATTCAGTAGGATTCTGGCAAAGAGTCAGTGTACTGGCTAATTAAAACTAGTGATGAGTTATCCCAGTCTAGGGACAGACATTCAAAAAGCCTGAGCCTGAACTGATTCAATCTTTGCATGTTAGTCTAACCTGCAAAGCTTGAACCAATTTGGAGGTGGACAGTCATTCCCTTTTCATTCCAGACATGCAGGCACATGCCTGCAGTGGCTCAGGCTAGAAGCTGGGGGGCACTAGAGCAGCCCTCCCTTCGTTTCTACAGGGCTGAGCTGAGGGGGTGTGGCCAGGCCCAGCAGGATGCTCTTATTATCCCCCACCCCCTTAAGCAGCCCAGCAGGGAATGTTTATAACCCCTAATTCAGTGTTTATCAACCCATTAAGAAAACAAAGTCTCTCTCCATTAACTAATGGAACTCTTCTTAAACAGCTTTTCCAAGGAAGAACATTAAGCTACCTGTTGATTAACTCCAAAAAGCCTGCCTGCCTCACAGCACAGACCATAGTCAGCGTGTGGTCTGCTAGCTAATGCTGAGGTGTCTGCATTAAAGCAGAGGGGAGAGGGGAATAATCCCTGCTTAGGAGGGAGAAGCCAGGCAGATGCTCTGTGCCTGCAAGTCTCTGCAGAGCTGCAGCCAGGGAGCAGAGGGGAGAGGCCAGCCCTGCTGTGGGGCAGCCCCTCCCAGCACACAAAGCACGCTGGGATGCTGGGAGAGTCTGATTTATCTTAAACCACCAAGGGGTCTGGGACAGACATTGCATAAACCGGTTTGACCCAAATCAGTTAAGTCTGATACTACATTAAACTAGGTTTATCTCAAACTGTTTTCAGCCATTTTTAAAGTGTTTTATGTGCATTGAACATCTGTCAGGTTACAGGTTTAAACCAGTTGATCACTTAAACCAGTTTATGTGTAATGTCTGTCCCTAGCCCCAGTGATGGGTTAACCAGGTTTTGCTGTACTCTGCATGCTCATCAGCTTCGTAAACTTCAACCACCACTGGTCCTATAAGCAGAAATAGCAATTGTCCAAGGATTTCTGCTCACAGTTCTAGTGTGCAAGAAAGAAGTAGTGTTGGGGCAGAAGGCATCTGAATTAAGAAAATATTCTGACCAGCTAGAAAGATCTTGGTTTTCAAGATGTTTCCCATTAAGCTAAGGTTTAATGCATACAGTTCAGCGATTATTTATTTGCTTTGTTAACCTGAGATAATGCTTGATTTGCCATGAGTTTTCAGTACAGTTACCATCTAGTTACCTTGAAATAACAAATAGTAACTCCAGCCCATATGTTCTTTTGTGAGAAAAGACTGCCTGCAATGTGTGCAAATAAATCTAAGCAGAAAGCAAATGGTTTGGACTCTCCTAGCACACGTCGTCCCTCAGGACAGGACAAGTAAGTATTCAAAGAAAAGCAGGGTCATGGTCAGAGAAAACATGTTGTCTTTTCCCCCAGCTAAACCAGAGCCATGGAGAAAAAGCAGCACTGTCACAAACTAACCACACATCAGTTTGCATAACTGGGAAAAATGCAAGCAGCCATAATATTCCATCACACACAGCTGTGGATTTGAGAAAGAAACCCAAAAGTATATAATATTAGCATAATTTTTAGCCTCTAACAAAACAGATGAACTGGTAGCTTTCAGAGGGGTAGGATGCAGAGGAGTTCATAATTAAGCAGCTAGCTTTATATGTGCAGTACTACGCATAATTCATCATACAGCCCATTCTTTTTACCCTCTAAATCTTTCCACTAAATCTCAGAATTATACCATGTTTCAGATGCTTGTGGAGCCATCACATGGCAACTACTTTTCAGGCCCATATATTGTAGGACATTATACCAAGCAATCTCCTTCATGTAACACATGGAGTTTTACTATTTATCTTTTTCCATATCAATACAGGCAGTACACAAAACATAATGTCCCATGTAAATAACAAGGCTCTCACAATACTTCATTTTGCAAAATAACATCCACGGCTCTAAAAGATTGTTATAAATGTTAAAAAACAGAGTGAAATGCACAATATGTGATCTACTTTTGACTGTTGCCATTTGTATTAATTTACTACATTTTGCAAAGAAAAATGCTTTTACTCTTGAATGCATACTACAGCTTACTAATTCCTAAATTATATTTCCAGGGAGAATAAAAAAATATAGATTACCGTGGTAGGAGTGCTGCCAAGCATGTATTTCAGTAGAGTTAATAAGATGACTCACTGGATCTTTTGGTAAGAATATGAATTGTCATCTTGTCACTGATACAAACATGCACCTCCCAGGGAAAGCTGCAGGAAAAAACAAACAATTACATTCTTTTTGAGATAAAAGTTAACTACTAGTCACCTGCTCTACATAATAAATCATACATTATGGCTTGGCAGTACTACAATCATGACAATAGCCTTTTTAATCAGAAATGATAAGGTGAGAGCTATGAATGGGAAGACAGCGGTACTTAAAAAGAATCTTGGCTTCAGGTCATAGTCTTCTGCCAATGTACTTGGAAGATGTTAATGTCTTGCTAGATCTTTAAGGGATTAAAGAATTTTTAATACTTTTAGATAAGTAAATTAGCAAGACTGTAGTAGAATTGTGCAAGAGAAAAATTAGAATAAGAACCCAGCAAAAATTAAATATTAACTTTACATAAATGCAAAGATGGTCTTGCACTTTCCAAAACCTTTTTGCTTTAGCAAGTTAGGCAATTCTCAAATTAATTTATGATAATTATAGATGGTGCAAAGAGTGTATAAATCGAATGGGTCTTTGACCAGCTATGCATAAATTATAAGGATTTTTTTATTAATATTACACACATATGTTGTCACAACAATCTTCATTTCTATGCCGTATTCAGTTCAAAGGCCTGCTGACAATCAGAAAAGCTATTTTCATCTTCCCTCTAGCATTAAACTACCCCTGCCCCAATGTGTGGCAATTCTAAAAGCAAGGACTCTTAAAGCATCACAAGCAGGGGCCCATATTTATTCGTAACCACATAATTTACTCTTTGCTGCAGAACTGCATTCCATAGTCTCTTCCTTTATGTTTCAACTATTTATGTTTCTGGTCTTTGTGGTTGCAAGGTATAAGCTTAAAAATACAAAGTGTCTGATATCTACGTACAGTGAGTCTGCAGAGTCCCTAAAACAGCTCTGTGAGGTGTGAACTGTTTTATTCATTTCCATTAGGACCTTGTGACTTTTTTCAAAATGCCACAGGATTCACATTTTTGTAGCAAAATATTCCATTTTTCCACAGCCTGATATTTTATTTGCTGTCTCTGCCCTGCCAGGACCTGTCTGCAGCTGTCTTTTGCTTAGCTCTTCACAATGAACAGCTAATTGGATTACAGCGCATGCTCCCTGCATTGTTCTGTGGAACCAAGCAGCAGGGGTTCAGGAGCCAGTGTTGAAGTCCATTTTGCAACCAGAGAATGGAGGAAGAATGTTTAGGCTGGGAGTGGCTGAGGCCTGGGGAACCTTCTAGGTGAGATGCAGCTCAAAAGGGTTTTGTGGATGGTTTGGCAGGAAAAAGAGGTTCTGGAGCTCCAGAGTTTGAAAATGATGTCAGATCATTTGGAGAGCATAGAAAGTAAAATAAAACAAAAATACTTAAGTAATTATTCTCAAACCAAAAAATCATAAGTTTTACATTGTGTGGGTTTTTATTAACAGTGAGCTGTAGCTGTGTATGTTTGTGAGGGTGGGGGATGATGGGTATTAAGTATTTCATGGTGATGGAATAAATTAACATGGCAACAACATTTATGGTTTGTCCTTGTGACATTTAGAGAAGGAGAGGGAATTTGTATTTTTTCTAGGAAAAAATACCTATTATTATGTAGCATGCTCATAAAACAGCATTAGAGACTGATTAAATGCTTCAGCTGTTCTTTGGATATTAATCTCAGTGGTTGTACTTTGTTGATTCATAATTTACAGAGAAAGATAGTGTATCTCAATTACTCTATACTCAGATTGTATCCAATATTTTTTTCAATTTGAAATAAAACATGAATTAAAAACCTCTTATGGTTTATATTTTTATTTCTTAAGAGAATATTTTGGCTGTGCCTATTTTGGAATAGAAATATATGCGTATTAGAGCAAATTCCAGTCATGTTGGTGTTGTTACATATAATGACTGATAGTAGGGGGCAAACCTGTTTGGCAGACATATCACAAATTAGCCTTCAGCCTCCCCAAGGCCCATTCCAATCGCCTTCCCCTGCCCAATCTACTCCTCTGCTTTCTGCTCCCCACCCTGCACTCCCTATCTGATCTACTGCTCTGCTTTCTGTCCTATCTGCTGCTATGTTGCCTGTCCCCTCCCTGATCTTCTGTGTGCCACACACCAAGGCTGATCATGCCACTTGTGATATCCATACAGCTGGTTGGCTACCCCTGCTCTAGGACATGGGTTGGATTAGTAACGCTCTACCTATGACTCACACAGATTGTCAAAAGCAGCTGCTGTTTTGAGATGTCTCCATTTCTGGTTGTCTGACTTGAGGCATTTTGGGGCTGATATTCAGAACTGCTGTGCACTAGCAGCAGTTGGGCACTTCAGAACTTCAGGCCCAAAACTTGCAGCATCTCAAAATCAGTGGCCCCTTCTGAAAATGCTGGATTTTACCTTTCTATCCCTGTTTCTAAATGCAACCTATTATTATTTATCACTGTATTTACTTAGTTTAATGGAAAGTCAAACTTACCCTTTCATCTAAGCATCCATGACTCAACTTTAAAATCAAACATGAAAAATCCCCATCATTATAGCTGAACTGCAGAAAGAGCAGGTAAACTAAAGACTGAAACAATCCTCTTTTTCTATCTTTTATCATCCTCATACTTATCTGTTTTTTGGGTTCATGAAGAAAAAAGAGGAGCTTCATAGTGTACTATGAAGGTCATTGAATGTGGGCTATTTCAGATCAAGGATGGAGAGAGTTATGAAGTCAGGGGGCACCTACTGAGAACACCCTGCCAGCTGCTCATTTATTCCAGCTTGAGTGTCTATGCTGATCACAAACTTTGGCAGGATGGCTCAAAGAGACAAACAACCACCCACATAGTTTGGTATTATGCAGTGAAAATACCATGGCTTGAACTGGCTTGCAGTTATAGTTCCATTTTTTGAGATTATAGTACATCACATAAGGTGAACTGAATTGGATGGATTTTGTGCTTGCATAAGTGAACTCTGATGAATACCTGTGTGCTATAGGAGGTTGTATCTCATGATTCAGTAGGTAGTACTCTTTTTCCTGAATAAGGAGTGAACTAATAAGTCAGATTCTGTTAGGATGTATGCTTCCTTTGGAAGCTTCTCCTTTGGCTGGGATCTAAAGTTAAGGATACACCTGCTTGCTATCCCTAAAAATGTCTTGATATTATTTGTAAGAGTGGTGTTTTTTAAATGGGTGGCTCTGGCTAACTTCCAGTTTAGGAAATGCTGTACTGTACTCTATTTAATTTTCAGTGGCATGAAATCTAGCCTTATTCCACGTTTATGGGTTAACTGGGCTAAGCATTCGGTATGTGTAAGTAGGTGCCTGGTGCTTTGAGTTGGGGGTGTCAAAGGCAGCCAGAAGCTACTGTCTCATGTGCCACTGGCTACAGAAGCTGGTGCACTTTTAACCACATTAGCCTGTAAGCTCTGAGCTTTTATGTCAAAGACTTGCATAACTGATTACATATACCTGATATGTTTGTTCATGAATGACTTTTCCTTTAATCTGTAATAATATTAAGCTAGTATTAAGTAGTGATTTTTAAAAAATTCAAAGTTAAAATAAGTATTCCAATGACTGAAAAATATACTAATGAACTTTCATTTTTGGGGATATATTTATTTTAGTTTATAAAATAGACTTTGGGCTATTTTATTTTATACTTATTTTATGAGCTACATTTTTTAAGTTGGGGAAATGTATGAAATATTTACTAATTTAAGTACCAGCTTAGTAAGAGTCTTAATTTTCTTCAGGAAGACTTAGAGTTCCTCTAGAGCAGGGGTGACCAACCTGCCACAAGTGGCACAGGTAGCCCTTGTGTGTGGCAGATCAAGTAGGGGGCAGGCAGCACAGCAATGGACAGTGCAGGAAGCAGTGGAGTAGATCAGGCAGGGAGGGCAGGGCAGAAAGCAGAGCATCAGATTGGTCCAGGATCACAGGGCAGGAGGCAGAGCAGCAGAGGAAGGGGACTGGAGTGGTACTCAGAGGATTGGAAACTTATTTGTGGCACACTTGCCAATAAGGTTAGTCCCCATTGATCTAGAGCACTTCCGCAAACATAGTTTTTGTGTAATTAAAAAGATTTCCTTCAGAATTTGACCAAATATTTTTAGGGTCCTGTGATGAAGTAAGCTGCCTTATTTCACTTAAGATGTATTAGTAAGAAAGCGACCTCAGTATTGCTATTGTTCATCCATATTGAAAGTAGAATGAAATGTCACTGCCGGTATTGCCACGCAGTTGAAAGAAAGTAAAACAATGATGAAGCAAGGCAAAGTGTGAGACCTAGCACAGATGTCTGTATTCATGGCTTTCCCATTGCCATCAATAATGCATGTCAAATGGCATGTGGTTAATGACACTAACTGCTAAGATGGCTTTAGTCAAACTTTTAATCACCCAAAGCTGTGAAAAGAGATTTATCACCATGGCATTTGGATATCAAAAAACTAAATGCTGCCAGACAAGTAAAGATATAGAAAAAGGGAATTAATGAGAAGATCAGCACACATAGACAAAAGCAATGCCCGATATAGAGATCTACAGTGTTGCATGGAAAAAAGGCCATCCGTTTGTTGGTATTTGCTGGAGACCACAGCAATAGCAGCAAATCCTAATGTATCGGTGCAACACAATTATCTTGATAGTTCAATATGCAGACATCTTCATTTTACAGTTGTGGCTACATTCTCATGTTATATGCTACAACATTCTAATTTTGTACATCAGTAGCTCATGTGTAAATTGCTGACATCCCGTGCTAGTGCTGATCCTTGGCCTAGTTTTCTTTGTAGTTATGGACCCACACAAGCTAAAGAAGAGAAGTCAGTTAAGTGCTGAGTATGAACAGTGGGGCAGTATGATCTGTAAAAGGATAGATTTTTATTTTCTGAACCCAAGAAGATAAATTCTATACTGGCTTATCCCCATGACACTTTTTTGATGTCAGAGGGATTGCCTAATTGTAAATTAACAGAATTTCACCATACGTGGACAAATTCTGTTCTCACGTATACTGTGTGAATTTTGATGAAACCAGGTATGTCAG